GACAGACAGACAGACAGATAGATAGATAGATAGATAGACAGACAGACAGACAGATAGATAGATAGATACATCTTTGTTGGATTTCTTTGAATAATATCTGTAATGTTACATTAGTCAGAAACAATGAAAACAATCACTTTTTTCTTTTTTTCCCTTAAATTATGCTAATAATAATTTTTTCAAAATATTATGTTTTTTGTCTTGTTCTCATTTTGATAATCCATTACTATGCTACTAAAATAGACTATTACTCATTTTGGCCCCCAGCTGTCAGACCTGCGCCCCTGACTACACAGATATTTGCATTGATTGATCGATCGATCGATTGATTGATTGACTGCTACATCGGTTTAATATCTGATATCACATGTCTTCCTGAATTCTCCCTGAATTACTGAGCAGAATTATGAACAGAAAATATGAATGTGTTTAGTTTAGTTTAGTTTTATTTAAAGTTTGACATGACAGGATATTGTGGCACAAAACCCTGAAATGTGTCAAACATACACATACGCCAAGACAATCATTAATTAGTATAAAACAAATAAAAGATAACTGATATACAAGCATAATAAATAAAAATACAAAATTTGCTAAAATATATATATACACATATATATATATATTGTATATACACGTACATACATACATATATGAATAACACAGATTCACAGAAAAGGCATCCTAATCAAGGACCTGTAAGTTATCCATACAACAAATTTAGAGCACGGGGAATAAAGGAGAGTTCATGACGTTTGGTTTTACTCCTGGGTACAACAAATGTCTTGTGCCGCCGAAGAGAATAAGTAGGTGTTGGAGCCATAGGCAGGAAACAATGCAATGGTGATGAACTGTCCTTGAGTATTTTAGTAAGCGTACGTATGGTGGCTTCCTCACGCCTCTCACTCAGTGTTGGGAGAGTTGAAGTCGGAATGCCTATTAACCGACAGCATCGCTTTTGGATCCTCTCTAACTCCTCAGAGAGACCTTTAGGTAGACCACCCCATACTGGACTAGCATATTCGAGAACTGGCCGTATAAAAGTCAAATATACTTGTACCAAAACATCACAAGGAAGACCCGCTTTTTTTGCAGCGCAAAGATAGTATATTCTGGGGCGCACCTTCGAAATAATGTACTTAATGTGGGCATCCCATGACAAGTCAGAGGATATTTGAACTCCAAGCAATTTAAAGGTGGAAACTCTACTAATTGCATGTCCTGAGATAACAGGAGAGGGAGGGGAGGGAATGTGTGTTGATCTTTGAGCTCCATAAGGTGGCAGCAAACTCTGCTCAACTTCATTAGTCTCATGAATTCAGAGTAAAGAAGCACCTCATGACATATTTGTAAACAACAACAGGCATGCTACAATTAAAAGCCTAATTATTAATGTAATAATGATTACATTTCATCTTATTTTCCAGCCAGGATTTCTAAACAGCCTAAAATGTCCGGGTTTTGTGTTGTTTACCTGTTGCATTCATCAATGCTGAAGGTAATGACTGAAAGGTTGTTCGACCAATAGCGTGCAGGCGCTGTTCATAATCGACCAATCGTGGCGCGAGAAGGCGGGATCTACGGAGCGATGCAAAATAATACAGGTGCGTATAATGGATGAAGACTGATGAGATGAGAGACCATCAGGAGGAAAACAACAGCCAAATATGCACTTCTTTAGTCATTCAGAAACATGTCTGGGAAAAAGAGGACGAATGCTGATCCTAATTAAATAAAAGTGTGATTCAGTGTTTCTGTGTTGAAGTGTTCATTCATTTGTGTTGCTAGGATGCTTTTTTAGTCTTTTGTGTAGCTCATAACCCAGAGACACAGACACATGAGCTGACAGAAATGAGTTCCAGCAGCATTCTGAGCAACTAAATCTAAAAAAAATCACATAACATAAATAATATAAAATACATACATACATACAATAATAATAATATAGAATTTTATATGTATATATATATATATATATATATATATATATATATATACACACACACACACACACACACACACATAATCTGTTATTATTAAATACATTATTGACATTATTAAATCTATAATTTTTTATTAAATAAAAAATAAACATAATTGTAAATCTAGTTTTAGTCAGGCTACTGTAAAATCGTAAAGTATTTTTTTGCCCTTGAAATACATTTTGAAATATGTTTCTGTATATAAAGGTTGAAACTAAATATATTTTCGATTTAAAAATTGATTTAATTGAGCTTCACTCAATTCACTCACTTCAAACCACATGATGACCTTTGACCCATAACTCTCAAAGACATGTTGATGAAACATTCATATTTGATGTTTTAATGAATTAATTCATGCATGGAGGGTTAAAACAACTCAAAAGCAGATGTGCGGTGGCAGGCTCTTTGCTGGAGGGCTAAACTCTCTCCATCACTGAGATAAAGGTGATTGACTCGATCACAATGTTCACAGCACACCCTCTACTGTCTCAGCCACACACAGAAACAAACACGCCTCAGTCACGCAACAAAAGAACATGCCTGCACATATTTAATGCACAATGCAAATTCAGTGACAACAAATATAACAGACGCTGCGCAAAATGAACCTTCTGATGAACGTCTGGATGAACAAAATAATAAAACGCTGCTTCTAATTAAAGTTCATGTGTGTCTCTCTAAATATATGAGCATTATTACTGCAGATTACAGTTGATGAGGGTTATTTTGATGATTTCACATCAGGGTTAATATCGTTAACTAAAACTAAAACAATAATAAAAAAATAAAAAAATTTTCACATAAAAAACGTAAACCTTTAACTTAACTCGTAGCTAAGCTAATTGTTTTTCCTAATTTCCTGCTTTAGCTTAAAAAACTAATATATATATATATATATATATATATAGGCTATATATAATAAACTACTAATTAATAATTAAAATAACTC